ATCAGAAATAGTATACTTACACTTCTTTCAGTAACCTTATTTAGTATCTTGACTCTTTCCATGAAAGATGAGGATGAGGAAATCAACAGACCTCACTTCCTTCTAGACTTCTATCTCCTACTTCCTGTCGGCTGCCCTTTTACTTTTATATTGTCACAGCTGCATTTTCTGTAACATTTGTATTTTGCTCTTTATCTGTGATTTTCCCCTTAACTTTAGCCTAACAAAAGGAGTAAAAAACCAAAAGCAAATACTTTTTACATTATTAATCCGATGCAAGTATTGTTCTGTGCTGGACCAAGTGCCATGCTAAGATTTTATTTCCTTCCCTCTAATTCCAGGATCAAGACCCCCAAAGCTCCTTATTTTAAAATTCAAAAGTACTTTCAGAGTTTCTTCCAGTTTAATTTTTTGAAATAATAGATGCATAGTAATAATTTAGTAAATACATACAAGTAGGAAAAAACTGGGAGGAAGAGAAAGAGGAATAGAAAATAAACACCTGAAAATCCTGCCATGTGGAGCATTTCTTAGAAGTGTTCACACAGAGTAATCAGTAACATTGAAGAAAAAATTCTTCCCATAGTGATAAGGGAAAACATCTAGACCTGTTAAGGAAACCCAGGATAGGAGAGATTCTGTTCTAAGTCTAAATTCCCTTATGTGCCACAGACTTTCAACTTTTATTCCACATACTTATTAAGCATTTGCTATCTGCTAGTCACTGTGCTTATTCCTGGTAATAAAATATAGTCAAAAAGAATCATTGTCCCTACCTTCATGAATGTTACTTTCCAGTAGAGGGAGGTAGATATTAATCAAATAGTTACATATAGACATGTACAATACAGACTGAGTTCAAACGCTAGAAAGGAAAAGAGCTTGGTTCTTTGAGGACATATAACAAAGGAACCCCGTGGGCAGAGAGGTTTTGGAGGGATCCAAGAAGTCTCCCTGGAAGGAATGATGCTTAAATTGAGATCTGAAAGAAGACTGGGGATTTACTAAGCAAAGGGCAGGGAGATAGGTTAGTGAGCATTCCAGAGAGAAGGTAGAAATTCAGTGATGAGTATGCAAATGGTGGATTCAAATAATAGAAAGCTGCTGTCACTGGTGCAGAAAGAGCTGGTGGGGAGAGGAGTTGGGAAGAAATCCACTCTGGGTGGCCTTCCTAGGCCAGGGGCCAGATGGTTTCCCAGTAGAGTGGAAAGCCAAGTGTGATCCTTTGGAATAGAGACTGGACGGGAGTTGGTCAGTGTTAGCATCGGTGTCTACTGTGAAGCCTGTTCGGATCCCCGACACAGGCCTCGTGTGCTATGAACTGGACATTTTTATCAGCTGTGATGGCCTCAGCTCATGAATGCCAAACAAATACCTTCCAAACCTTGCAGAGTATGTAGCCACCTCATCATGCAAATGACCACATAGTTCATCCTTGGGAACCTTCCAGACAATGCTTTCCCACCTCTGTGAGGAAACCACACCCTTCTCTTTCCTCACCTTCATTAACAAATGGCATTACAAGGTAGAGAACACACAAGAAGCATGCTAACAGGAAGCACCCCCAGACAGCCTCTGGTCCTGCAGACTACAAACCTGAGGGAGAGGCAGGGTGCAGAGAAGGGTAACTGGAACACTCCTGTCTCCCCTAAGGAAATTGAAATGGAAGCTCATCATGTGAAATTAAAGCAGCAGCATTTGTCTTGTTTTGAGGTCCCAGAGCCTTCTTCCCCTTTCTCTATCTCCTAAGGTGGTTCCTAAGGTCATTTTTTTTATTGACATTAACAAAACAGAAAATTGATAGTTCATGCAAGGGGTAACTTTTCTAGTAAGAAGGCATTTCAAGGAGCAAAGACATTTTTAGGAAGAAAATAAAGCAAGAAAGATAAAACTTAGCAAAGAGGGGAAAAAAAAAAACATAGCAGGAGGGGTATGTATACCAACCCTCTGCTTGAAATACTTGAGTAATCTCTCATTGCACCTGAAATAAAATCCAGGCTTCATCCCATGCTATGAGACTTCACATGATCTGATCCTTCCCTACCATTAGGAACTCAGACTGTACTATGATTACTTGCATCTCTATGCTCTAGTTTATTTTCTGCCCCGGGGCCTTTGCACCTCATATCTACATGGCTGGCTCCCTCTTTTTTCATCCTTTGCTTAGATAACTCCCCCCTCAAAAAGCTTTTCCCTAGCCTCCTCTCTGATGTAGTCCCTTCCCCACTTCCAGTCACTCTAGCCTATTACCCTATTGTGTCTTACCACTATCTGAAACTTTTTGGTTTGTTCACTTGTTTTTATCTCTCTCAATTACAGTGGAATTTACATGAGTGCAGAGATCTACTCTAACTTGTTTAGCATCATATCTGCAAAGCCTAGAGCAATGCCTGGTACTCAATAAATATTTGTTGGATAAATGTATGTAATAATATTCTCATATTTGGAAGATAGTCATGTGGATAAATAAATTCATTTATTCATCTAAGAAACATAACAAATATGCACTCATTTAATAATTATTGCGAGACTGTTATGTCCTGGGCACTGGAGATAAAAAGTAGAACTAGAGGCAGACAACATTCCTCCCTTTAATGAGCTCATAGTATTGTGGTCAGTGTGGAGAAATGTGGAGAGAATTCAAGACATAAGGACTTACTGGTCATGGGAGGTGAAGAAGAGCAAGAAAATGAGCCCCAGATCTTAGACTTGAGCAGATGAGGTTATTGTGCCATTCTAGGAGCAAAGGAACCTCAGATAAGAAAGGGAGGAGGCCAGCTTTAGAAATGTGACACTTTGGAAATATCTAGCAAGGAGGTAGATATCCAAATCTGGAGCTTGAAAGAGACACCTGGCTGGAAATAGAGTTGACAAATCAAAGGCAGCGCTTATAGACTTGGGAATAGGTGAGATAAACAGGGTAGAATAAAGTGAGGAGAAGAAAAGAGGGACCTTGGAGAAAACCAACATTTAAAGAATGGTTAGAAGTCAAACCTGCAAGAGAATCTAAAAAAGAGAAATTGAAATAATGGACACCGGCAGAACTCATTGTCATAGTACCTAACGCATCAGGAGGACTAAAAATTGTCCACTGCACTTGGTGACAGAACAGTAATCTCTGCCTGAGCCATGGCCATGCCATGGTACAGCAGGCCATGATATTTTTGTTTGCTGTGACAGGAAGTGAAGACTAGGAAATGGAGAGAGAGGTAAAAGGCTCCTATAAGCTGCTTGGCCCAGAAAGGAGGAAAAAAATGAAAGGGGGGCTGAAGATAAAGGCTAGAAAAACACATTCATTAATACTCTAAAGAGCAGAACAAGCATATTGAATGGAAACTGCTGGGAAGTTGCTTTGGTTTAAAACTCTTAACCATTAGAGTTTTAAAATGGATTGGGCTACCTCCAGAAGCACTGAGATCTTGATTATCAGAGGTATCAAAGAAGACCCTGAATGTTATGTTAAGATAGAGTAAGGTGTTCAATCAGTAATGTAGGCTTCCACTGTAAGAAACTGGAGGAAGAAAAACAAATCCAAAACAAGCAGAAGAATGGGCATAATAAAGATATGAACAGAAATCAGTAACATTAATGCAGAAAAACTATAGGGAAATATACATGAAACTAAAAGCTGTCCCTGTTTCATTTCTTATACTGGTAATTTGTGTCCTCTCTCTTTCTTTTTTTTTTTTTCTATCTGGCCTGGACAGAGGTTTAGCAATTTTATTATTTTTTTCCCCCAGTGAATCAGCCTGAATAATCAATAGCCAGATTTTCAGATTATATAATGAATCAAAGGATCTAAGCTTAGACAGCAAGGAAGACCAAATTGCTTAATTTTCTGGTTTGGGTTTTAATTAAGAAAGGAAGGAAACTTCCCCCTCTGGCTAAGAAACTGAGAATTACACCCAGATCAGGCAGATCCCTCTGAGAGTTCAATTGTCCTCCATCTGTTATCCTCACTTCAAAAACTGAAGGGAGTTTAGGAGTTTCTTTCTTGAGCAGCTAGCTGGCCTGCTAGATTTCCAGGATGGCCGTGTTCCACCCGTGCCTGGTAAAGAAAGCCAAAGGTACTCATGATTCTGATTTTCTCAGGTGCTTAGAATCCAAGAATATCAGAGTTGAAGGAAGGCTGGATTTTACCTAATTCAAATCCCCACAGTTTAAAGAAGAGAAACCAAGGCCCATGGAGGGTGGCTTGTCTAGGTGGCCTCCATACCCTCTTATCTGAAATCCAGTGATCACGAACTGGCCCTGGGACAGACAGTAAGCCCATTAGACCGTATCTTCCAGGCTCTTGGAAAAGGAAATGGCAACCCACTCCTGTATCCTTGCCTGGAAAAATCCCATGGACAGAGGAGCCTGGCAGGCTTACACTCCATGGGGTTGCAAAGAGTCAGACACAACTGAGCAAGTTCACTTCACTTTCCAGGCCTGCCTGCTCCTAATCGTCATAGTATATGTTTGCTTTTAAGCTTACTTTTATGCATAAAGAGTCCCCATGAGAACCTGTCTGTCTGGGCCCTAGTCCCTCTTCTCTCACCCACTGGAGTCAAGATGGAGAAAACCCACCAGACCCAGGCCTTCACACTGAGGCATCCTGCCCAATGGGATTGGCTTGAGCCCGTGCGCCTGAGCTCACCACCAACCAGCTGAACATAATCTGGGTCCATCATTCCTATCTGATCCCACTGCAACTTTGAATTCTTCACCAAATTCCTTGTAAGACTGTAATGAAAATGTACTACACCCTCAGTATGTCCAGGTCTGTGCTAGGAGGCTATACTTTCTCTCAGTCCTACTCAATAAACAGGTATTGTTCTCATCCTCATTTTTCAGGTAAATAAATAGGCTCAGAGAGGTTAAGCAATGTGCTTAAGATCCCACAATTAGTTAAGTAGAGGAGTCAGGGTTTGAACTCAGGTCTAACTGACTCCAGTGTTCAAACCTTTAGTGAGAAAATTCTTCCTGATTTAAAATGAAAGTTCTCTCTCTGTTTGCAGTCTCAGGAAGAAGTCTGTGATTTGCTTCATGCTGCACCCTTCCAAAACATCTTGCCTAGAGTCTACATCAAAGGTAAGAAACCTCTGAAAGCAGCTAAATACTTGCATTACCATATGTAAAATAGATCGCCAGTGGGAATTTGCTGTGTGACTCAGGAAACTCAAACAGGGGTTCTGTAACAACCTAGAAGGATGGGGCGGGGAGCAAGAGGGAGAGAGTTTCAGGAGAGAGAGGACATATGTATACCTATGGCTGATCCATGGTAATATTTGGCAGAAAACAAAATTCTCTAAAGCAATTATCCTTCAATTAAAAAATAAATTCATTTAAAAAAATAGCCATTTGAATTTGAACCGTATGCTCACTTAATCTCAGTAAACTCAAATCTGCAGTCAGAAAAGAATAAGGTTAAAGCCTTGGGCAGCTGTTAATGCTGGAATTGGAAATGATGCTCCAGGCCTGTTCCTTGGGTCTTCTAGAACATCCCTAGTATGTTGCTGTCTCGGTTAGTCTACATCCTTCAAGTGATGAGTAACTCACCACCCCATGAGGTAGATGATTCCACTGGACAAAGATAAAAGAACCTGTTTCCTTATAGTGAGTCCTGAACACCCTTGTCAGAACCACGGAAAACAGCTCTACATGCTCCTTCCAAGTGCTGGAGTTGCAAGTACATCCCCAAGTCCTCTGAGAGCTCTTTCTTTCCCATTTCCCCCGGTGTGCCCTGAATCTCATTCTCTGCCTACCATTCCTTTTGCAGAGGGTGAGCGTCTGGAGGTCCGGATGAAACGCCTGGAAGCCAAGTATGCCCCACTTCACCTGGTCCCTCTGATAGAGCGGCTGGGGACCCCTCAGGTACGATCCTCCTGTCATGGACTCATAGAACCTAAAGGAACTTTAGAGGGAAAGAGAGAGCATTTGGTCCAGCCTCCTCCTTACAGATGGGAAAACTGAGGCCCAGAGGGAGAAACAGAAAGTCTAACAGCACACAGCCTGGTAGTGGCAGGGGCAGGTCTGGAATGAGATTTGTTGACTCTCAGGCCTACACCCTCTATCATCTGTCCTGCCAAGAAAGAAGGAAGTCAGACAAGTATCTGTTACTCCCCGTTAAGTATGAAGAATTCTGCTCTTATCTCTCAAAATTAAAACCACCCACCCTGCAGGTCGACAGTTCACCTTTGGGTGCTGTGCTGGGCTGTACTTAGTCTCTTGGTTGTCTGACTCTGCAACCCCGTGGACTGTAGCCCACCTCTGTCCATGGGGATTCTCTAGGCAAGAATACTGGAATGGGTTGCCATGCCCTCCTCCAGGGATCTTCCCAACCCAGAGATTGAACCCAGGTCTCCCACGTTGCAGGTGGATTCTTTACCATCTGATTCACCAGGGAAGCCCTATCTTTGCTAAAGAAGAAAAAAAAAAATTACAGGAATACAAGATGTTTACCACAGCATTGTTTGTTAGACCAAAAACTGGAAGCAACCTAAATATCAATCAGTAGCATGTTGACTAAATAAAATGGGGTAAAATCATTTAAGCAATGAATACCAAATCAAATGAATTTGGTATGAATCAATGAATACCAAATCAAAATGAAAAGGGGAAGTCAAATCTAGATACATCAGTGTGGACAGATCATAAACACACGGTTAGGTGAATAAAGGAAGTTTCACAACAGGTCATGGAGTTTGATGCTATGTGGATTTTTTTAAACACATACCAAAAAACCGTATAAAGTGAAACTTTTCCTAGGACATGAAAGTGCCCAGTTCATAACGGTGGCAACTTGTGAAGAGAGATGAAAGAGACAGAGATGGATAGGGAGATCAAACACAGCTTTATCTGTAATGTTCTCTCATTTTCAAAGGTGAATGAGCTCAGGTGTTAATTCTGTATTTAAAACTCATTTTTATAAGCCTGTATCTATATATGGAGATGAGTGAAAGAAGAGGACCCCTGCCTTCAGAGAACTCACAGACCGTGCAGGTAGTTGGGAAAAAGACACTGGGAGAAAGGAAAGTACCAGGAAGCATATATTGTCTCTTTTCAAGTTGATTCAAGTTGAATCAGGCTTTTAAGGGCAGGGGACAGGGGTATTCAGGAAGAAGAGAAAACGGGGCACTGTAGTGAGACATACCACGATGGCTTGTTTTGTTCAACAAAACCGACTATTTCAAAGGTTTAGGATTCAGATCCACTCTTGGACTTACATCCCTGAGGTCCTCTGTCCTGTCACAAAAGCTCATGAGTCAGAAAGCTTCATCCTCCTCAGAGAGCAAAAGGCAGTCTCTTCTCTCAAAATCCATGGCAAGTGTTGGAACCCAGGGCGGAGCCCCATCTGCCCAGGTGTCAAGCTCATGAGCTTGACAGAGCCAGACCCCCTGTGGGCCACCCACCTCCGACAAAAACAGTGACTAAACATTTAGTGGCATTTGGGTTCTTAGTCACTACCAAGAGAATTTAGATACCGTGAAATATGAACATTTTCTTTTTTGGCTTTCCGGAGCTGAACACAGAAGATCCTCTAAAGATTGCCTTTTAGGGAGAAATCCCCCAAGCCAGCGACATATAAATGTGTCTGCTTCAGGGTTGGTGTCATCCTGCAAGAATCTGGCCTCTCGCACCCAGGCTTTGGCATGTGTTTCCACTTAGAAGTATGTGAATTCCTTCCCTGTTCTGGTGAACACTATTTCCCTGGGACTGGTGGAAATCTCAATTTGTCAAGTGCTGATATTTAACAAACAAAAGCCTAGACATTCTGCCGGAGAGGAAATGCCAGTTGTATAAGTCTCCCAGCCCTTAAGGAATAGTCCAAAACTTAGTCCTCCTGTAGAAAAAAGAAAAAAATGTTAAATATTAACTTCCAAGCTTGCTAGGGTTCAGGGAACTCACAAAACTTCTAGGTCAGTGATAGGGAAATTCTACTACATATTTAATGTGGGAAGGGTTCAACTGTGCTACATTGCTTGTATTTGTTTCTAGGAAAAACTGAGGTGACCTGGTTTGTTACCCAGTGCTATCGTGAAAAGAATGTTCTGTCAGGGAGTTGAAGGACTCTTCTTCCCAGCTTTATCCCTGAACTGTTGTATAATCTAGTGCTAGAATTTAATATCTTTGATCTTTGTTTTCCCATCTGTAAAATGGGCAAATAGCTGAGCTGCCTTTCACAATCATTATGACAAACAAATAAGTAAAAACTTACAAAAAACAGAAAGGAAAGAGTGGGCATGGAATATTAATCTTCTCCAAAGTATCTTAAATGTAATCAAAGTACTCCATACAGAAATCTATTTCCACATGATTTCACAGATACTTTCTGTATACCCTTAATTAACAGAAAAGAATGGCAGAGAGAGAGAAAAAAATCCCCCATTGAGTGGAACTGAAAGGAAACAGCTGAAGTTTATGTTAAACACACATATACACACATAGTATATATTAAAAACACAGCCACACATTGGTGGTATATGTGATAATAATCTATAATACACTTTTTCAGAGCAGAAAGAAAAATCATATCAAAAAAAACAAGGGCAAGAAAGAAAACTCAAAACATAAAAAATACAAAAGAAGCAACAAATACAAGAAACAAGCGTAAGAAAAAGCATTCTGCCTTACAGTAATCAATGAAATGTGAAAGAGTGGGGTACAGCTATTCATCTCCCAAGTTTGTTAAGAACTTTTCATGATAATGAAGTATCAGATTTGGCACAGAAAGATGCACAGCGGTTCAGCTTTTCTTGGGACTAGTTTGTTACTAGGTAGCAAAAGCCTTTTAAAACTACTTGTATTCTTTGAATAGTTGTAGGATTTTAGCCTAAGAAAATAACCAGAGAGAAGCTCAAAAAGTGTATCTAAGTGTGTATGTGTATATATATATATATATATATATATATATATAAGGAAAACAGGGCTTCCCAGGTGGCACAGTGGTAAAGAATCCCCCTGCCATTGCAGGAGACGCAAAGACACAGGTTTGATCCCTGGGTCAGGAAGATCCCCTGGGGAAGGAAATAGCAACCCCTCCAATATTCTTGCCTGGAGAATTCCATGGACAGAGGAGCTTGGCAAGCTACAGTCCATGGGGTCGCAAAGAGTTGGACACAACAGCATGCATGCACATAAGAATATTTACTTATGATCTGTCTATAATGTTGAAAACTTGTGAACAATTTAAAATAACCAACAAGAGTAGGACTAGAAGGAAGCTCTAGAGGGAGGGGACATATGTATACCTATGGCTGATTCATGTTGATATATGGCAGAAACCAACACAATATTGCAAAGCAATTATCCTCCAATTAAAAATAAATTTAAATTAAAAAAAATTTTTAAGAGTAGGACTAAATAAATGAAGTATATCAATGGCTATTTTATTTAGCCATTAAAAAACCATGTTACTGAAGATATTGAAGGAAGTGGTATTTTATAGTACTAATATCTTGAGAAAAAGACAATATAGATAGTATGATGCAAATTTTGTTAAAATAGATACCTACATATAATCATATATATACACACAAATCATACATAAGTTATCTTAAGAAAGTTTGTCTCTTGGTGATGGGATTCATGGGAGGTTTTTTTTTTTGTAATTTTTTTAATAACATTTTTACAGTTTTTTCTTTCTGCACTTTCACTTTTTTTCCCCCACTTTTTTACTTTTATAGATCATAGGAAGACCCGTAAAGGTAAACTCTTTTCCAAGAAAGGGACAAAGCCCCTGACCATTTCAGTCAAAGCCCTTTGATTGGCTATAGTTCGGGGTCACCAGAGTTCAAAGCCTGTCTGCAGATTTATTGGGTTGGCCAAAAAAAATCATTCGATTTTAAGTAAAAATAAAACACATTTTTCATTTTCACCAAGAACTGTTTTGAACGACATAGTCATTAACCAACAGAACTGTTTGGCCAACCCAATATAAGCCCTGTTGCTAATTCTTTTTTTTTTTTTTTTTTTTTTTTTTTTTTTTTTTTTTTTTTTTTTTTTTTTTTTTTTTTTTTTTTTTTTTTTTTTTTTTTTTTTTTTTTTTTTTTTTTTTTTTTTTTTTTTTTTTTTTTTTTTTTTTTTTTTTTTTTTTTTTTTTTTTTTTTTTTTTTTTTTTTTTTTTTTTTTTTTTTTTTTTTTTTTTTTTTTTTTTTTTTTTTTTTTTTTTTTTTTTTTTTTTTTTTTTTTTTTTTTTTTTTTTTTTTTTTTTTTTTTTTTTTTTTTTTTTTTTTTTTTTTTTTTTTTTTTTTTTTTTTTTTTTTTTTTTNATGAGGAAGCTGTGGTACATATACACCATGGAATATTACTCAGCCATTAAAAAGAATTCATTTGAATCAGTTCTAATGAGATGGATGAAACTGGAGCCCATTATACAGAGCGAAGTAAGCCAGAAAGATAAAGCCCTGTTGCTAATTCTTTAGATCCTCCAGCAATTGTCAGGCCCTGAGGACTGATTCAGATAAACTAAATGCACAGGAGATTATCTGGTAAACCAGAGCTCTCTATGTTGGCTTCTGAAGGAGAATATCCATGAGTCAAGAACAAGTGTGGGTTCTTTCCTTACAGAGCATCTCTGCTGTACCAGGCGCTCTCTTTCTAAAGTAGGAGCCCTGCCAGGGTCTAGGCTCCACCACAGAGCATTGCCTGGTGAGGGCAGAGTCAAGCGTGGGGACCAGGGCTTTTTAAAAGAGTTATTTCTGGAGAACTGTGGCAGCTCTCTGCTCTGGAGTGTTCTTTCTCTGCCCCTGGAACCAAGATGAGTCACCGTGAGTCAGGGTTCCCTCTCCCTCCTGTTTGAAACACAGGTTGTCAAATTCTTCTTCCCCAGTTCACAGTTTTGTCTGAGACTTTTCAGTTTATAGCTGTCATGACAGCTACACTCCTGATGCACATTCCTAACAGGCTCCAGCATTGGTGTTTCCTGACTTATTTCCCTTCATGGATTAGTTTAATTGAGGCTGCCCTCTTTCTCTGGGCTAGAGGGTGGGAGCTCTACTGGGAGGAATCAGGCTGGCTCCCCCCATCCACCCTGAACTCTCTGGGGAGCTGATCCCAGGAGTGCCCTGGGGACCCCTCAGTCTCAGAAGCTGGCGTTTTTTAGCTTTGACCCTAGATCTGGAGATCTTATTTTGACCTTAGATGTTAGTATCTATCATCTTTGCATTTGGTTTTAGGGTCTCTACTCCCAGATATTTTTTCCTCCTACAGATGATAATATGTTCTGATGTGCTAGTCTAGCCTGCTGATTATTAGAGATGCAATAACTAGAAACCAGATGATCAGCCAGTTTAAATTCTTAATAGAGATTGTTGACAGTGGTGAGAGGACTTCTAACTGGAGGAAATAATTCTGTAAAATTAGTGGTAAATTTTTAAGAGTAGCATATGCTCATTGTAGCACATTCAACTGTACGGAGTATTTGTGGTAAAAAGTGAATACCCCACCTACTTCTCCAAGCCCATCTGTTCTCACAACTGATGGTAATCCTTCTAGAATGTTTTACACTTTCACACAACCCCCACACACAGAGTTCTGTGTGTCTGTCTGTGGGATTGTGTTATTGATGTCTTTTAATAGGATTCTAGTGTATGCACTTTTCTGCAACTTGCTCTGTTCACTTAACCATTTAATCTGCATATCTAGACTGCTGCTGCTGCTAAGTCGCTTCAGTCGTGTCTGACTCTGTGCAACCCCATAGGCGGCAGCCCACCAGGCTCCCCCGTCCCTGGGATTCTCCAGGCAAGAATACTGGAGTGGGTTGCCATTTCCTTCTCCAATGCATGAAAGTGAAGTCGCTCAGTTGAGTCCTACTCATAGCGACCCCATGGACTGCAGCCCACCAGCCTCCTCCGTCCAGGGGATTCTCCAGGCAAGAGTACTGGAGTAGGGTGCCATTGCCTTCTCCGAGACTACTGGGATTCAAATCCCAGCTTTTCCACTCACTGACTGCCTCTCTGAACCTCAGATTCTTCAATAAAATGGGGATAATAATGACATCTACTTCATGGGGTTTATGTGAAAAGTAAACAAAGTCAGTACTTAGCAAATGCATAGAACAGGGCCTGGTGTATTACACACACAGTGAGTGTTCACTAGTGGTAGCAATAGTTCAGTAGTAACAATAATACTAGCAGTTGTATCATCTAAGTCTTTTCGGAGGCTCCCTAGCATTCAGGTAGGTTGCTGTCGTTCAGCCGCTCAGTTATGTCTCTTTGTTCAGTCAGTTCAGCCGCTCAGTCATGTCCGACTTTTTGTGACCCCATGGACTGCAGCACGCCAGGCTTCCCTGACCATCACCAACTCCCAGAGCTTGTTCAAACTCATGTCCATCAAGTTGGTGATGCCATCCAACCATCTCATCCTCTGCCTTCTCCTCCTGCCTTCGATCTTTCCCAGCATCAGGGTCTCTCCCAAGGAGTCAATTTTTATCATCAGGTGGCCAAAGTATTGGAGTTCAACTTCAGCATCAGTCCTTCCAATGAATATTCAGAATTGATTTCCTTTAGGATTGACGTTTGATCTCCTTGCAGTCCAAGGGACTCGCAAGAGTCTTCTCCAACACCACAGACCACCTTACCTGACTCTTCATAGATCTACTTGTATCACATAGGTAGATTTAAACATTTTAAAATTATTCCTCTATCGATGGCTCCTAGATTTTACCTACCCAAAGACTTCCCTGCAGTTGAACTAAGGTTTATAAACTACCTTGCCTGCTTTGGGCAAGACATCAGTTCTAGTGTGTTACAGATGCTGCCAGCTTCAGAGTTTTGGAATCTTGGGTGAGAGGTGAAAATGGGGTCTGAGATGTGACGGGAAGGTCCGTGTACTCTCCTGTTCCCAGCAAATTGCCATTGCTCGGGAGGGCGACCTGCTGACCAAGGAGCGACTATGCTGCGGGCTATCCATGTTCGAGGTCATCCTGACCCGCATCCGGAGCTACCTGCAGGATCCTGTCTGGCGGGGCCCACCGCCCACCAATGGTGTCATGCATGTGGACGAGTGCGTGGAATTCCACCGTCTCTGGAGTGCCATGCAGTTCGTCTACTGCATCCCCGTGGGAACCAACGAGTTCACAGCTGAGTGAGTAGCCCTGGGAAGATGGGGTCACCCCGCAACCTGTTAAAGATTATTGGAATTTAATTCACAGACTACAACTGAGCTGGAACATTGCTTAGGATGCAGCTCTTAAAGGGGAAAAGGAGACCTCCCAGGAAAGGCTCCAGGTGATTGGAGGCAGAGATGGGGTGTGTGCACATCAAGGCCTCGGACCTCTAAGGTTCTGTCTTCCCGAGACGGGAAGGTGGGCTGATGGAAGGGGCAGGAGGGAGCCCAGGCAAGGGCTTGGCATCAAGACCTCACTGCACACTGCCATCTCCCCCAACAGAACCCCAGGGCTCATAGAACAGAGAAAGGCTCCAGCGGCAGCAGCTGGGCCCCACCTTCATGAGGCCTCTGCTCCTGATAAACAGGGAGAGGGACCCAGTCCTGTCCTCAGAAAAGACAGAAGCAGAGCCCCATTTTCCCGTCACTTGCCCAGCTACAGAGCAAAAGCAGAGTGTGAAGAGAGCGGACCAGGACTGTCCCCCGGAGCCAGGAGCTCGGGAGGGAAGGCGCATGGGGCCACAGAGGTCCCCCTGGGGGAGTGGGATGGGAAGGCTGTTTTTCAGAGAGGCTGCACTTTCAGTGACAGCAGTGGGGAAGCTCAGAACCTTTGCAGTGAGATTCGGCTGCTGATGAAGAATGAGAGATTCAGCCGAGAGATGCCCCACGGCCTCCAAAATCGCCTGCATTGCTATTGAGAGTTGTGGGTGTGAAGGCTTAGCTTTACCAGACCTGAGAGGACTGGCAACCCCCCACATCAGCAGCATCTGCTCACGGCCCACTATGCCCCCCGCCCATCCCTGCCTTCTCAGCCTACACTGGCCAGTTGGTCTGGTTCAAAATGGCCCTTCACCTCACAGGTTTCCTCTGATTCTTGTCCAGAGCCAAGACAGCATCTCTTCAGAATTATGATTGGTTGAATAAATCTCAAAGGCTGGTTGGATTTTTTTTTTTCTTGCAAATTTGTCTTCTTCAAAGCTGATTTTTCTTATGTCAGTGGGGTGACAGACTGACACCTCTTTGTGGTTAGAAGGGCTTATATTATAACCTCAGTCCTGGGAACAAATGAATCCATACTCGCAACTTCCCTTGTACCCATTTTACAGATTAAGAGAATTGGCCCAGAGATGTCCAAGATGAGGGGTCCTCCCCCCACCCTCCCCACCTCTCACTCCAGCTGCTTCCTCTCCCACTCCCAGGCAGTGTTTTGGAGACGGCTTGAACTGGGCTGGCTGCTCCATCATCGTCCTCCTGGGCCAGCAGCGTCGCTTCGACCTGTTTGACTTCTGTTACCACCTGCTCAAAGTACAGAGGCAGGACGGGAAAGATGAAATCATTAAGAATGTGGTAAGCAGCTCGTGGCTGGGGCCTGGGAGAGGGGGCCAGGCCTGACAAGCAGGCTTTCATCTGCCAAGAAGGGTGAGCTCCTTGTGGAGGCCAACTCCCCACACCGCAGGTAGGTGCAGGGGCACTCAGCAGCTGGCAACCTTCTCGTTGGAAGCCGTGAGTCACTCGCTTGTAAGCCGCCAGGATGAATCAGGTCACCCCGCAGGGCAGGGCCAACCCCCAGAGCTGAGACACACCTTCCCTGTGCTAGTCAGAGTCTGCTCACGTGCTTTATCATCTGCACAGACACTGTTGTGCAGGCATGGGGATGGGATGAGCATTGTGGTGGGGTAATCAGGGCTGCTTGGGAGCATGAGGAAGGGCCAGCTAAACCAGGCTGAGGGGCTGGGGAGGGGCCTCAGAAGGCGCCCCATAGAGGCGATGCTTGGGCAAAGTCCTGAATGACCAGCGGCAAAGAGACAGGCAGGAAACAGGGTGCAGACTGGGGGAGGTGTTCTAGACAAAGGGGCCGGCTAGAGCAAAGGCACAGAGGTGTGGAGATGGATGGCTGGAACAAAGGGTGGGTCTCCAGGACCAGCCAAGAGGGAAAAAAGGCAGGCGCCACTTATAAAGGTGACAGTTTTCATTGAAGTAGAATATATGTAACCTAAAATTTTTCTATTTTAACTGTTTTTACGTGTTCAGTTCAATAGAGTTTAATCATTTTGAACTCTTTACTGCATTAAATACACTCACTTTGTGCAACCATCCCCCTATTTTCTTTTTTCTTGCTGTTATTTAATTGCAGGAGTTCTTTCTGGATATTAATCCCTGATCACATACATGATTTGAAAAGTGTTTTCTTTCATTCTTTGAGTTGCCTCTTCACTCTGTTGATAGTGTCCTTTGATGCATTTTTAATTTTGATGGATTCCAATTTATTATTTATTACACTCCATCTCCAGAACTTTTTGTCTTCCCCAAATGAAACTCTATGCTTGGTTAACACTAATTGGTCATTCTCCCTCCCTCCAACCTCTGGTAACCCTTCACTTTCTCTATGAATTTGACTGCTCTAGGTACTTCATATAAGTGGAATTCTTGAACTCAGCATAATGTGTTCAAGGTGTACTGTGTTGTATTAATAGCATGTGTCAGAATCATCTTCCTTTAAATTGTATTCCATTGTATGTGTACATAGCATTTTGTTTATCCATTGGTCAGTTGATGGACACTTGAGTTGCTCTCACGTTTTGGCTGTTGTGAATAATGCTGCTGTGTCATGAGTGTCCAGATAACTGTTCCAGACCTTACTTTCATTGCTTTGTGGTATATACCTAACATTGGAATTGATGGATCATGTGGTAATTCTGTCGTTAATTTTTGAGGACCACCATACTGTTTTCCACAGGGACAGCACCATTTTACTTTCCCACCAGCAATGCATAAGAGTCCCAGTTTCTTAATATCCTCTCAGCACTTGTTATTTTCTGTATATTTTTGGAACTAGCCACCTTAATGTGTATGAAGTGATATCTCATTGTGGTTTTGATACATGTTTCCTTAACGATTAGTGATATTAGCATCTTTTTGTGTGCTTATTGGCTCTTTGTTTATCCTTCTTTGGAGAAATGTCTGCTCAAATATTTTGCTCACTTTTTAATTGGGCTGGTTGGTTTTTTGTTTGTTTGTTTGTTTGCTGTTATTTAATTGCACGAGTCCTTTCCATATTCTGGATATTAATCTCTAATCATATACAAGATTTGAAAATGTTCTCTTTCATTCTTTGAGTCACCTTTTCACTCTGTTAATAGTATCCTTTGATGCAAATGCTTTTTTAATTTTGATGAATTCCAATTTATTATTTATTACCTGTGCTTTGGTGCCATATTCCAATAAGTCTTTGCCAGACTCAGTGTTATAAAGCTTTTCGTCTGTTTTCTTCTCAAGGTTTTATAGTTTTTGCTCTTATGTTTAGGTCTTTAATCTATTTTGAGCTTATGTTTTGTGTATGGTGTAAATTAAGAATCCAACTTCTTTCTTCTGTGTGCCAGTCTTCCAGCACCATTTGTTGAAAAGGCCATTCTTTCTCCATTGAATGTTGCAGGCACCCTTATCAGGAATCATTTGACCGTATGTGAAAGGCTTTATTTCTGGGTTGTCTAATCCATTGGCCCATATGTCTGTCTTCATGTTAGCACCACACTGTTTTAATTACTGCAGCTTTGTGGTAAGTGTTGAAACTCATGTAAAAGGTTTTATGGTCAAGTTCACATTTCATTGTCAAACTCTGGGCTCCCATAGGAGGCCTTTAAGCAAGAGAGTGGCATTACCATTGAAGCATCAGGACTCTGGAACCCAAACCTCAGCTATATTCTTCCCTTGCTCTCGATCTCCCTACCCCACTCCTCCCACTTCTAACCTACATGCCCCTGTCCTTCTCTAGCCCCTGAAGAAGATGGCAGACAGGATCAGGAAATACCAGATCTTGAACAATGAGGTTTTTGCCATCCTGAACAAGTACATGAAGTCTGTGGAGACAGACAGTTCCACCGTGGAGCATGTGCGCTGCTTCCAGCCACCCATCCACCAGTCTCTGGCCACCACCTGCTAGGCGGAAGGTCCTGCAAACCTCTAGCTGGAGGAGAAGAAGCAGGAGAGAGAAAGCCACGGCCAGCCTGCAACAGGGTCCGACTGGACAATGTGTGAGATGGACCTGGAAGCACACAAGAACCTCCCCAAACACATCTGCACCTCCCGAGGGCTGGGCCTCTGCATGCTCTCCCATGACATCTCCATGGTGGTTTTTCCATAGTGTAAATGAAAAAAAAAGAAGAAAAGAAACAGGGCAGTACTTGCTTTTTTCTCTTTTTCCCCTCAGCTGTGTTAAGAGCCCTAGTTTCACCCTTTCTCCATCTCATGGTCCCCACATCCGTGGTTGCTACCCAACACCTCCTCCCCTGATTGTGACCTCCTGCACAGTGCCCACATGCAACCCCAGGACTGAAGTCTTAGAGATGGAGAAAAGAGTGTGGCCATTCCCCAAGATGTCAGCCTGGCTTGATGGGCATGCTTCCACTTCCAAGCATCTTCACCTCCTCTGGCTCCCTTCCCCCACTTCCCACGGTGTCATCTTGTCCTGCTCCGGATGCCAGGGATTCAACAACCAAGTGTACTCCTGGACCAGGCACTGAGAGCCGTGGTGGATGGGAGACGAGGTTCCTGGTATCAGTACCGTAGCAGATGGTGTTGAGATGTTGCCTTTGGCCTTCCATGGACTCTTAAAACCACATTCTGACTCCCCTCTCAGGGCACTCCTAGGGAGAACTCAGAAATGCATTCACAGCTGGAATGAGTGAATGGAATTGGGGTAGGAAGATGGTCAGGCCTGCTGTGTAGAAGCAGTATATATGAACACAGCCAGGAATTCCATAGTCCAAAACAGAAAGCTGTTAGAACACTTCATCAGGTGGATGGTGAGAGACTCCTTTATTCATTGAACAAATACTTAGCACCAAGTCACAGAGAGAGTGAACACTGGACTACTGGCCAGACATGCACTGCCCACAGCATTAGCCAGCAACCAAATTAGGGGCCACTTCTTGGCACAGAATCTCTCATCAAGAAAAACCCTAACAAGAAAGAAAATATTAAAGGGTTATTTTAACAGAATCCAGAAACACGTTGGGGTCAAGGAGGTAAGGAGTGTAAATAATACTTATCAATGAGCTTTTAATACCAACCGACCCAGGGATCAAACCCACATCTCTTGCATCTCCTGCATTGGCAGGCAGATTCTTTACCACTAGCACTACCTGGGAAGCCCCTTCAATACTAAAATACACCCAAAGAAGAACCCTGTTCTAATGAATCGGGATTTTATTGTCCAAGAAGCTGAAAGATTCTGGAGACATTTGACCTTTGGCTTCTATTCTTTGATGTTCCTTAACTTAGATTCTGAGATACAGGTCATATCTCACAGGGACATTGTTTTTATTCAGTTGCTCAGTCATGTCCGACTATTTGCAACCCCATGGACTGCAGCACACTGGGCTTCCCTGTTCTTCATCATCTCCCAGAGTTTGCTCAAACTCATGTCCATTGAGTCAGCAATACAAAGAAGAACCCTGTTCTAATGAATCGGGATTTTCTTGTCCAAGAAGCTGAAAGATTCTGGAGACATTTGACCTTTGGCTTCTATTCTTTGATGTTCCTTAACTTAGATTCTGAGATACGAGTTATATCTCACAGGGACATTGTTTTTATTCAGTTGCTCAGTCATGTCCGACTATTTGCGACCCCATGGACTGCAGCACACTGGGCTTCCCTGTTCTTCATCATCTCCCAGAGTTTGCTCAAACTCATGTCCATTGAGTCAGCAATACCATCCAACCATGCCTACTTCTATTTCCCAGAATGAATCAAAATTCCTTGCAGAATCTCTTACTGAGCATGGGGAAGCTGTTTAGAAGGACAGAAGCCTTTGGGAAATGAATGTCTCCTTACAGAGCACGTTATCATCAAAGGGAATCTGTGAGTCTGAGCTTGTAAGAACATATAAAATGAGACAATTTGGTACTTCTTCCCTTGCCCAGGAAGGAAAAGAGAGAAAACAAACTGATAATGATCGCCTCACTCAGGGCAGATGAATGGAAATTGTTCCCATTAACCAGATGGCCCATTTAATCCCCAGGCAAGAGCAAAGAAGTGTCCATAGCAAGCGGTTTGTGTTACCCACTCATGCTTACCAGGGAGGACAGAGGTGGGGCTTGCCAAGTGTGGTCCAAAGGCCACCTCCATCAGGACTTCTGAGATTAGCACATTTGATGCAGATTCCTGGGCCTACCTCAAACCCACCAATCCTGCATCTCTGGGAGCAGAATTGAGAAATCTGCACTTGCCACAAGCTGGATTGTTCTGTTACACATCAGAGTCTGAGGACCACTGCCGTAGAGGCCCCCTCCACTGCTAACCTTGGGCTTTGAGCTCCCTCTGAGCCGTGAAAGAAAATAATTGTAGGGAAGGAAAGTGAGTCAGGGTACAAGTTGTCAGATCCTCCTGTCTGGAGCTGCTACTTCCCATTCTCATAGGAATAGTATTTCTCTCTCTCTCTCTTTTTTTTTTCCTTCTTGAAGATTATACATGTCCCAGAGGCAAAAGTGAGGGGCTACACCACATGGGGGAACTACATGGTAAAACTCACCTTCAAAACCCACATAAAATTTCTAAACTCCAGAGTCTTCTGAGTCTTCAGTCCTGTCTGGGTACAGTAGCTGGCTCACTTTCTCAGCTACTTGACTGTCTATTAAGTCCTGGAGATCATTCTAAATCCTTGACTATTGCTTTGTGGAGATTTGGATCACCCTTTTGGTGAGATTGCTATTTCAACAGCCTGCCCCTCCCATCCTATCATAGCCCTGACTTGACCCTTTGGGTAGAATCCCATTGTCCTCAAGAGATTTTATCTCAGTAAATTGAGGTCTTCACCTTTAGGAGAGATGTTTCATTTCCCTGGCTCACCAGCAGCATTGATTTACAAATACAGAACGGGTTTAATATTCTTTCCCTCCAGGTGTTACTGCCCCTCTTTTAATTTTTTGTGTATCTAAGAACCAAGAAAAATAAAATCTTAGGTTTTAAAAGGTTTAAAAAAATTCTGTTTCAGAAACTGTCAAATGTACCATATTTGTATTAAGAGTTGTCGGGGATTTTTGTACAATGAATTTACATTTATTTATGGTGACTTATATTTACGCTTGTGATCAAATAATGATGTTAAATTCTTAAATCATATTTGCTATGCAGCTGAAGATGATATTTTGCTTTGTATTTTGGGGTACCTGTGTTGAGTTGATAAACATTTCCATCTCCATTAAAACTGCTTCCAAACTCGTGAAATGAGTGTCTTGTCTTGATTCTGGTTCATATTCTAGTCCTAGTTAATCTGTGGAAGACTACGGGAAAACTGGTTAACTAAGGAGACAACCTGAAAGAGAATGGAGGAACATAAAGAATATAAAGATGCTGCACCCTGAACTAATGGCTTGTTTTGCTTTCTTATTGGGAGAATTATATCTTTGTAAACACTCTGGGCTTGATATTGAAGATAGTTCCTGAGTCTAGGGCTTTCTTTGTCTGACAGTATAATTCTACAGCCTAGATTCCTAGTGCTGTTTTTTATTTGTTTGTGGTTTTTGTTTGTTTGGGGTTTGGGGTAGATTTTATTTTTTTAATTGGAATGTGGTTGATTTACAATGTTGTGTTAGTTTCAGGTATATAGTAAAGTGATTCAGTTATATATATATATATACTCTTATTCAGGATCTTTTCCATTATAGGTTATTTTAAGATACTGAATATAATTCCCTGTGCTATACACCTAGGCCTTTATTATTTTTAAGTTTTATATATATATTAGTAGTAGTGTGTATCTGTTAATCCCAAATTCCTAATTTATCCCTCCCTACCTTTCCTCTTTGATAACCATAAGTTTGCTTTCTGTGTCTGTAAGTCTATTTCTGTTTTGTAAATAAGTTCACTTATATCATTTTTTAGATTTCACGTATAAGTGATATCATATGATGGTTTGTCTGACTTCACTTAGAATGATAATAACTTGGTCCATCTTGTTGCTGCATATTGCATTATTTTGTTCTTTTAATGGTTGAGTAATATTCCATTGTGGAATATTGTGTATATATACATATACATGCACACACACCTTTCATGTTAATGGACATTTACATTGCTTTCATGTCTTGCTATTATAAGTAGTGCTGTTATGAACCTTGGGGTGCCTCTATCTTTTTGAATGAGAATTTTTGTCTTTTCTGGATATATGCCCAGGAGTGGTCTGGTGGATCATATGGTAAGCATTATTTTTAGTTTAAGTAAGCTGCATATTGTTTTTCATAGTGGCTGCAACAATTTATGTTCCTACCAAAAATTGTAAGAGGGTTTCTTTCTTTTCACATCCTTGCTGACATGTTTGTGTTCTTTTTGTTGACAACCATCCTGGCAAGTGTGAGGTGATATCCTGTTGTAGGTTTGATTTGCATTTCCCTGATTATTGTCAATAGTGAGCATCTTTTCATGTGCCTGTTGGCCATCTGCGTGTCCTCTTTGAGAAAATGTCTATATAGTTCTTCTGCCCATTTTTTTCAGTCAGGTTATTTATTTTGTTGATGTAGAATCATAAGAACTGTTTATATACGTTGAATGTTAACCCCTTGTTAGTTATATGATTTGCAAATATCTTCTTCCATGCAGTAGGTTGTCTTTTCATTTTGTCAATAGTTTTCTTTGCTGTGCAAAAGCTTTTAAATTTAAGTAGGTCTCATTTGTTTACTTTTGCTTTAGGAAAGGAATCCAAAAAACATATTGCTCTGATTTATGTCAAAGAGTGTTCTGCCTGTGTTTTCCTCTAGCAGTTTTATCAATCTTACATTTAAGTCTTTAGTCCATTTTGAGTGTTTTTGTATATGTTGTTAGAGAATGTTCTAAGTTTACTGTTTTACCTGTAGCTGTCCAGTTTTTCCAGCACTACTTATTGAAGAGATTGTCTTTTTCTCCATTATATATTCTTGCCTCCTTTATTATAAAAGAATTTACCATGAGTACATGGGTTTATGTCTTGGCTTTCTATTCTATCTCATATATGTCATTTATCAATACATCCCTAGTTCTAAGAGGAAACATGACACTAATATGTAATAAGTCCTGATGTGTGTGGGCATCATGTAAATTCCATTCATCCATTCCTTTGAATCAACCACAGTCACTGTGCTAAATTCCACCTTTGACAGAGAGACTATGCAGTGTGTTTATTTTCACGTGGTTACTCAGTGACAGCTAGAATTTGAACCCTGTTCTAAAGGCTCGGCTTTTCCTGTTATACTATTCTAAATCAATCATTCAGGCTGGACCTCAAAACTGGACTTAGGAGTTTGATTACTGGACTTTGGGGGGCTTCGGATAAGTAAGATGGAGTAAAACCAGCTATACGGAAGGGCCCAGCATAGTGGCAGGGAAGTTCTCAGGCTGAAGGCACCTGGGGACTTCTTGCACTCATCAGAAAGGCTGGCACTCGAAGATAACTAGAAGGATGTGTTTAAGACCAACACTGGTACTGGGAGCATCACAGCTCCCAGATTTACACAGTGTCACACAGCACCAGATTTCCCAAAGACCAGCCAATGAGATGAGTCCTAGGGAATTCATTAGTGACCCCCTTCATTGCTGCAGTCTGGGCTACCCTTGAACTTCTCGGGGCCTCAGGTTGCTTATCTTCAAGGCTGACAAAATAACCCGACATTCCTTCCAGCTCTGCTATCTCCATACTAGGTCATTTCCTACTGGTGTACTTTGAGGGGTCTGACTACTTCACAGACGTAGAATCTTTCTCAGCCATGTGATATCACCTCCAATTCTCATCATTAGGGCTGGTGTATTTGATCTAGTGTCATTGGAGCACTATTAGTCTGGAGAGATGTGCGGTGAAAAGAAGATTCCATGGTCAAATACATTTGGGGAATGTGTCATGCTCTCTCCCCTCTTGAAGATGGGCAGTGATTGGAGGAGTCTGGTAGAACATAATTAGCCTGGATTAACACCATGTCTCCCAGATGGCTGTTACTTTAGACACTCCTTTCTCTGCAACACTAATGATTCTCTCATGGAACATTCTTTTAAAACCATTGGGCTCAGGATGTGGAAATCCATGTTAAGATAGTTTTCTAAATTCCCACTAGAGAAGGACCACTTACACATCGGCAATCATGACACTTGGGCATGGGATCCAAGTGGGAAGGGAAGCAGGAACTTGACAAAGTATTGAAGGAATTCAGGTGGAAAAGGGAAGCATTTTCATGATGGAAGAACATAGGGTTGTTGTTCAGTCGCTCAGCCGTGTCCGACTGCGACCCCATGGACTGTATCATGCCAGGCTTCCCTGTCCTGCACTGTCTCCTGGAACTTGCTCAAACTCATGTCCATTGAGCCAGTGATGTCATCCAACTATCTCATCCTCTGTCATCCCCTTCGCCTCCTGCCCTCAATCTTTCCCAG